AGACTGTAGCATCATCAGGGTTGGGCTAAGCATATTTAATGCCCTGAATCAAAAATCATAGATCATATTTCGAAACGAATAATATTCCGAATAAGTTTCGGTCACAAGCGAGAACATAATATGTTCAGACTATAATTAGACTGGAGGCTTTACGTTCGATGGTTACGATCTACGTCGCAAAAAATGAACGGATCAGAAGAGCCTGAAGGTCAGCGCTTTATGGACAACTAAATTTCGCTGCCAGAAACGTCCACTGGAGCACAGTTTCAGATTATGACCATTTTGTTAATATTATCAAGACCACATTTAGAAAATTTAGCCTGGCAGCAAAGTCGAGACGCATCAACCCTTCAACAAGGTATCCTATGACCAGAAGAAAAACTGACGGCAGAAGGCAAAATGAATACTGTTTGCACTGCATTGTTTAACGGGAAACAGCAGAAGCTGAGTGAATATTACAAGTAGGAGAGGGAAATAAAAACCTGACGGCTGTGGAACGCGAAATTCGCCTACAACAACGGGGTTCGAACGGGGTGAAGGTTGAAGAAGGTGCAAAATCTACTAATGACAGTTGTATGTGTGCGATTTCCATCTAGTTTGAAGACACCCTGTGTTCTTACAAAGTTGTCACGCGTTGCCACGAAAGTAATTTCAAAAGTCAGCTTGCACGAAATTGAGTGACTAATCAGAAACATTCGAAACGGCAGAGGTCCAGAAAATGACGATGTAAGACCAGAACACCTTGAAGCACGAGAAACAATCCTATTTAGGACGCTTGCCAAACCTTTTATGGGTACAGCAGACAGAACAAGACACTGAGACGATTCTTCTCGTGAAAAAATGTGACTCAAACGGTCTCAAGAACTGTCGACCAAAGTCTGTGGATAAATAATGGAAATTATACATGTATATATGTGCTTAGCCCTCGCTTGACTTAAATAAGGCATACCCTGATGATGCCTCGTAGAAAATAAAATGGATTACGAGAAGTCTGATCAATGACGACAGAAGAAATGATACTCATCAAAAAAGTTTGAGAACGACCTGAGGTGCGAACGCATGTACCTCACACGGGCATCGCCTACTCAACCTCAGCTTACTTTTTTTCGAGTAGAAAAAATGAACTAACTTAAATGCAATTTAAGGTTACGAAGCTTAGCGCACTTTGAGGGCAGGTTTTTCTGGTTTCTAACGAGACGAAACTGCTTTTGAATAGTAAATAATCAGCTGGAAGATTCTGAAAACTGGTCTGCGAAAACACACGATACTAGAGATGAAGTTGGACTTCTCGAAGGGGCGAAACCTTCACGCAGTAGTCACATCCAGTGACATCCTCTATCGGAGCGGTTTCTTCAATATACTGCTTATGCACTACTGAAGTCGAATAAATAGCCTCGAGGTGTTGTTTGTTTCATCAGAGGTTGCACTGTTTAAATTTATTCATAAACACCCAGAGGCTATTTACTCAACTTCAGTGGTGCATAAACAGCACTCCGAAGAAACCACTCCGATAAAGCAATTTTCATATAGATATTTTCGCGTAGGTACTTGACACCTGGCACGAAATATGAGCAAGATATGCAAGCATAACTTCCGGCTTGATAATTATAAACTATATATCTTATTCGTAA